GGAAAGTGGTTTTGAAACTTTCTGAGATAACAGATTCATTTCCATAGTGACATACCACCTTTCCAGAAAAAGATGTGCAAGTATACGGAAACAAGAGTTTTACCTTCGATACTAAACAACTCTGGATTTCTCTAAACTTCGGTTTAGAACCTAGCCCAGGAGTACCTTGTTTTCAAATATAGGCATACCTTGGATATTACCTTCACAATAAAATAAGTATTGTAATAATATTTGTGACTGCATATATAAAGCTGTTTACACTAAACTGTAGTCTACTAAGGTCACAACAGCATTATGAAACTTTTAAAGTACTATGAGAACTGCGAATGTATGACAGAAATACAAAGTGAGCACCTGCTGTTGGGGAAAAAGGTGGTGATAAGACATGGTCCCTGCAGCATTGAAATCAACTTCCTTTTTTAAACTCAAAAACCAAAAACCCCACCAAAAGACAACCCCACTGCAGTATCTGCTAAGCACAATAAAACAAGGTATTCCTGTAAACAAATTTAATCCAAACAGCTCTAGCTTTTAAATTTAAAACAAACAAACAAAAACTTGATTAAATTTTTCTTCATACACTATAATACAATCACCACTACAAAATCTGTCAAGGAGAAATAGAAATACCTAGTACTTTTTCTTGCTTAAGAGTAATGTGGTGGTTTAACTGCCTGTCTGTAAGATGAACACTCAGAAATAAGATATAAACCGTTTTCAGGGGAAAACATGCATGCATTTATTTTTAAGATTCCCAGTAAAGGGGGAAAAAAATTCAACATCTTTAAAAATGTGTTTATTTTTTAAAAAAATCAGTTGTGTACAAAAGTGTTTTGTAGTTTTTAATTCTCAAGACAAATACCCAACCCTCCACCCACAGCCCACCCTACTTCAATGGTCTTTCTGGTAACCCACCCATTTTCCCCTTACAGGAAGTTAATGGCTCAGAATAGACCCTCCCACAGAATTTACCATCACTAACAGATTGTTTAGAATAGAGATCTAGAGAAGCTAACAAGCAAGGTTCTTTCTCAGTGAGGTTAATGAGAATCCCTATAATGGCAGTAGGCTTCCAGCAGACACCACAACAAAGCACCATCAATTGCTGAAAGCTGAAAAATAGAATATTTTCAACAGCAATTCATTTTCTATTGAAAAGGTCTTTAAATTACATTAAATAAGTCTCTTTCCCCCCAAAGAAATAGTCTAGCTTTTATTATGATGCCTGGAAAAATGAAGTAACAGCAAGCAGACAAGGATCATTAACAGCACAGTGCAATGATTTGTACACACTCCTCCCCTAGAACCAAACTGAAAAAATTGTGCCACAGTGATTATATAGAGCATCATGGCTGAAATAACCAAGCAAGAGGTGACACATTCACAACTTACATACAGGTGATGATCACAGGTTTATGAGAGCAGATCAGTCCAATAAAATCGGTAACAGAATAGGAAAGGAAGCTATTAATACTTCCCTAGCCCTATGCCACAAGATTTTTAATCCATGTTGCAACAGTGCAAACAGAACATGTGAAATAATACGTAGACACTGTAGAAAAGTCACACTTAAAAAGGCTATCAGTAAATACTTCAAGTTGCCTTCTTCCCCAGTGACAGCAACTGGCTGATATTAGGGATTCACTTTAAATTGGTACTACAATAATGGACATATCTGATTTCAGGATCAATGGTTTGTACCCTGGAACTGGAATTCTTTAAACTAGAGATTAATATACCACCATTTTATAAAAAGCCCATCAAATAGTTAACTGTAAACAGAAGCTTCCTTTTTCTTACCCAAACACTGTTTCCATCTCTGTATAGGAAGAAGGTATACCCGGCTCTAGCTCTTCCTTGCCTGAATTCAGCTTATATCATTAAAAGAAAAACTAAAATCCTTAATTTCCAGTGCTGCTACATAGGGTTACAAATATATGATCATTTCCCCACTGCAGAACTTAAAAGCCTAAAACAGGCATACACTTAAAGCAAAGATCTGCTTTTACATTTATGAATTTGTTAAGCAGCCTATATATTACCACAATATGTTGCATTTCTGTAGTGCATGAATAAGCAAAACAATTTTATTTGCCAATTCCTACTTAAAAAAAAAAAAGTTGCATAGTTTCAAGTGCCACCAACAAACACATTTCCAAGAAGAAAATCAGTCTTAATTTCATTTCTTGGATTACTCTTCACAAAGAGAATGATTCTGGCTACATTTATACATTTGTGGATTTGTGTGTTTAAGTAGCCCCACAGACATAATTCTAAACATTTGGAGAAGCCAATTCAGAGCATTTAATTTAGTACCAACTTTCTCAATTATACCATTAATTATACATGGATTACAAACTACTAGTTATTCATTTTGTATTCAAATATCATACAACTTATTTCTTCTTTTGAAAGTCAGGCACATATGAAGGCCATTGACCCAACTACAAAAAACTTAAACTGTAATTTTTCTTTTAAATTGGGGTTTATGAAAGGTATTAAAGAGACTTTTAGAAATCTCTCTAGTCAAAAAGGATTAAACTGTATTCTTAAGCCACACTTTATTAAGGTCTCTGAACTTGAGAAATATCATAAACACTGAAAATTATAAAAATTTCCACTAAGGTAGTTCTTTCTGAGGTCTAAACTTTTAGTGTCTTTGCTGTGAACATTTAACATGGAACAGGGGGAAGCAGTTGCCTTGATTTATGCCTAGGGAAAGAAATATGCCTGTAGTGATGTAAAAAACAACAAAGATGACAGTGGGTAGCGTACCAGAAAGGAAAGTGGGACAATTATCACATTAAATGTAAATGAGGTAAATACATTTTTATAATAAAAAAATCCATTATGGATCACCTCTCAAACCCAGTATCATCATACTTTCAAATTTCCTGGGCACTCGGGATGTTAATGTGTAGTCAGGTGAGCATGTACCCTTGAGGATTAATAAGTATAAAAATCAAAGGCAAGATACAGCTGCCTCCAAAAGAATGTAAGAATTTTTTCTTTCCTTTGTCTAATCACAGAACAATTAAATAGACCCTGATAATATAGGCAAGTAGTAAACTATGTAGACATATTCAGTATTTTAAAAATCCAATTACATGGATCAAGCCACACCCTCAACTAAAAAAATTCGGACTGACCAACAGAGCAAAACGGTTCATATTTTCACACATTCCTACCTAAATTAAAAATATAATGTATAAGGTTTTAGCTGCTTAAAATAAATTAAAAAAAAAAAATCTTGTTTCCTTTGGCATCTTTAGAAAATAACTAAACTACAACAATAACAGGAGATGATTGTTTAAAAAAATTTATACTTGTGAACATACGGGGGAAAAAAACTTAGCAACTTGTGTTTCTTATGCAATAATACCAATTCTAAGAGTTTACTGATTAGGAAAGCCTTACAAATTTTTGGAAGAACCTTTACATTTTTAACATTATATTTAATGTTTTATTGCTTCTAGAATTAAGATTGAGAAGTCAAATGAAGTTATGCTGATTTATGGTTCCAAAAAATTACTTTCCAAACACTTTAACCATTATAATTTAGGATAAATAACACTTTTAAGAAAACAAACTTCTAATGAGTCTCTCTATATACAGCCTTACATTAATTCAGTCTGAATCCATTACAATTTTGTTGTTTTTTTGCATTGGTCCTGAAAATTTATAAAGAACTGCCTGCTAAGTCACTCCAACCTTCATGAAATGGTCATATTAGTGTCTGAACTTGTCCAACTAATAATTTTCAAACTTCTGAACTTAGAATGAAATGTAACTTTAATATGAGTAGAAAGTCTGACTATGTACAAGAGAAGGTAAAGTTTTCAATTCTCTTATTATCAGAAACATCATAAAGAAAGCTAGATTTGTAACACACTTCTATTCCTATGTGCATCTGAAGTATGTACAGTAAAACACCAACACAGCTTTTATGTGTCAATATGGGGAAAATGCAAGCACGAGTGATTTTTAACGTATCCAATAAAGCAATCTCTATAAAGCCCAAAATTAGGCTTTAAAAACAAAACTATTGCAAACAGTTAACTGCATCCTTGCAAGTTCTCAAAGAAAATGTCATCTACTTAGTTTTCAAAATAGAAAGATGTCGAATTCACTGGAAAAGGAAACTGGATTCTTTCACTAAATCTGGGAACACTGCAACATCAAGTATTTACCGTTTTTGCAAGAGAAATAAAATTGGCAGCTCCATTTTCACATTTATACAGGAAAGCTTCAAGAGTGTTTCAAGAGCTGTGACTAAACATTCCAAGCCTATGACTTAAAAATGGAGTAAGGGATACGGTCCCTCAGCACAGTTCCCCGCCAAATACAGATTATTAGCTGTGTGTGGTTGAGGGAGAAATAGATATGGTGTCCCAGTCAGCTGACAAGGACAAAAAAGGCTCTGAATAAGGTCACCATCTTCAATTTTGGGTAAATCACGTATTTTAGAGTTCTCAAATGCTTAAAATGGTGGTCTTTTCAGCTACCCATCCTAAGAAGTCAAGTACAAGCATGCAAGTAAATTCACAGGCACAGAGGATCCATGTTAAACAGTTAAGGTAGCTGTGATGCAACACCAACAATTTGAATGGCCTTGATACACTCAAAATATATCTTAATTATTCAACAAAATCCTGAAGCAAACTCTTGGTAGTCTTGGTACATTGCTAAACGCTAAAGTAGCATGTTTTTTCCATGGTTTTTGCTTAGCTCAAGAATTTTTACACTATCAAGTAAGAAAAAAATTAAAGTATTTCCCCTTTTTAAATTTACACAGACGTTTAATTAGCTTTATTTACAGAGCAGGCTTGTTTTGTTGGTTTTTGTTGTTTTTTTTTTCAGTCTCCAATGGTGCCTAGATAACATCATTAGGCAAGAATGCCAGTTTAAAAGAAATCTATGCAGAATTCTAAAAATAACAGATGTTGATGCTCCTCAAGAAGGGGCAAGCTTGACTATTTCAGCAGCTCTCATTCTACGCCTCAGTTACTCAGAAGCAATTCTGTTGCAGTCTCTACATCCCATGATTTTGAAGACAAGGCCACTATTACTGCATTCTGTAAAGAAAAAGGGACAAAAATAAAAGCTCAAACATTTTCAGAACATTGTATTCATAGTGAGAACTTATTTTCTTTTCTGTAAGCTGCACTGCATTTGTACTACATAAAAAGATGCTTCAAGAAAATTGAATGCTGAAAATCAATAAAAGGAAAAAATTATCAAGAATCATGGATTTTAGTAACAAAAATTTTATTTATTAAAATTGTATTTAGAAAACATCTTATTCTCTGAAGTACTTTTCATCAAAGCTTTACTGCAACAACTTAAAATTAATCAAGCAATATATAAAAATAAATATGACCTTAAGTACTTACCCTATCAAAGCCCATAGCACATAGATTTTCTATTTTTTTGGTGTATTCTGGACTAGAAACTGGTGCTCCAGCATACACATGTGCCCAAAGTCGAGCCGTCTGTTTGAACATTTCAGGATTCTGTTTGTACTACAAAGGGGAAATAAATTGATTCACATGACAATATAGTTATGCTCTTCTTTTCCTAGACTAATTTACATTTAAACTCCTAAACTCCAACCCATGAACCTAAAATTTTAACTCACAAATTAACAGAAGGAACACAAAAGATAAATATGTCAACTCTACACCCCAGTTTCAACACATTAGCAAGAAACTATTACTAACTGATATAAGGTTATTAAAGATCTTTGGAGACACTGTGGAGTTGCAAACATTAACCAATTAAACAATGAAATTATGTGAACATTACAAAATATAAACAATCAACATCTGAGGTAACCACAGCTCAGACTGCATAGAAAGCATCTAGATTAATATTTTGCTAGAGCTGTGTTATATTTTATTAGACACTAATTTAAGGAAACTACATCTGCAAAGTCCTAGCTTATATGTCTTACATGTGGAGCCTCCATGAGTCAGATCCAATTCCACGGCAACTCCTAAGAATAAGATCACTTCGTAAAAGGTAAGCATTTCTTCTAATTTGGAAAGATGCCAATTTAGTCTCTAACAGTCAAGGCTCATCATTACTTAATAAAGCAAAGTATAACCCGGAAATAATTATTTTATTCACTATACAACAAGTAACAGTAGAGCATATAGTAAGGTTATACGCTAAAATGAGAAAAGCTTGTCAAGGGAAATGGAAGCTCCCACTAAGAGATAACAGAAATTAAAATCTTAAATAATGCAAAAATATTTATGACGTAGATGAACCATGGCAAACTGGATGGAAAAATAAGCAGAAACAAATGTAATCATGGAAAAACATGAATCACAGTTTCATCTACTCAGACTAGAAGAACTACATAGTGCTGGGTAACCACTACAAACAGGTCTGATCAAGGCCAGAACTGGGGGAAATGTGGACCAGAACTCAAGATTTAAAAAATGTTCAGATTTGTCAGACATCTGAAACTAAAAAGACCACCCCTAAGACTATTGCCTTGATTACCTTTTAAACTTTGAATTGAAATTATCCCGTAAGCTAAATAATAGATCATAAAAGAGGATGATCCAGGAGAAATGTGCTCCTTTTAAAAACCATCTATATAAATCTTAGTCTCGGAGGACAAATGAGTCAACTGTTTAAACAATTTAGAAAAGTCTCTTAGTTTCATGAGTAGCAACATGGATTTTTAACAGCTTGCAAATAGTCACTTACACCTACACATAGGGAGAAAAAGACAAAAAGGAATCAAAGCTCAAAAAAAGAAACTAATTAACAGGATACTAGTCCACAGAATTCACCTTTTCTAATCTGAGACTGGAAGAACTAGCTATATGGTGCCCAGTTAACACTACCTATCTTTCTGTCAAAGGACACAACAGAAGATACTAAATAGCAGAAAAGTGTAGAACAAAATGAAAATTGTTGTAAAAGGTCAGGCCTACGAAATGGCCTTAGAGGAAGTACAATCAGGTTGCATACAAGAAAGGAAAGGATGGTGAAAAACAGAATGGAAATAAGAATGCTGATATATTATAAAAATTATAACCAACGGCCACAATTTATATAAAAAGTGGTTTAAAGGTACTGCACAATTGAGGTATTTATAATGTTTCCCAGACTCAGAAAGGAAATACTGAATACCTGAAATAAAGGATGATTAGACATTTTATGACAATTGCCATTCTGAAACAAGACATGCTTTACAAAGTGAATTAGGAAAGGGAAAGGAGGGGGATAAAGTGTATCAATGACTGAGTGATAACCTATCCTTTCTGTAAACGTACACTAAAATCCCATTAAAAAATATTAAAGTGAAAAAAAAAAAGTTATGTGTAAACTTTCAGCAAAAATGCAAAAAATTACTTAAAACAAACAAACCCTACATTAGACAAAAAGATTAATAATTACATCAAAGGCATGAAATTAAGAGGAGGTAGAAAAACTGGGAGTAATGAAAATGGTACAATCAAAACAATGTGTACAATGATGGCACATTATTTAAAAAGGAACCAATTTTACCAAATTATTTTTATGGAAATTATTAAATGGGAACTTAATCTGCTGTATATTTACTTTAAATACAATAAATTATCCTTTGAAAAACCATTTTGGAGATGAAGATAGGTTTATATGTAAGTTTAAACCCACATATGAACTCTTTAAAATCCACGTATGAACTCTTTAAACTAAAGATTTGATCTCAAGTTGGTAATAATAAAGCTATACCTAAAATCCTCAAACTCGTTGCTTTGAGTAGCAAGTGGCTCACAGCCGACCCTCCACTGGGTTTCCTAGGCTGTGTATTGCACAGGAAAAGACTGCCCATCTATCTCCCTTGGAGTCATCGGTGGATTTAAACCACCAGACCACTGTGACCTTTGGGTTGGCAGCCCAATTCTCTATAGACCAGGCCACCAGAGTTTCCTAACGAAATTAAAATGTAGTAAAAGAAAATTTATAATTTTATGTAAATTAACAATCACTGCAGGAGCAGAGGATAGAAGGAAGACACTAAAGGGGGCAGAGCAGTTGAAATGAGAAATGCCAGGCACATCAACTAAGGTAGTGGAGACTACAACTCAACCATTCCATGAACAGGTATGAACCTTGCTCTATCCCGCACCATTCTCACAATCTCTGTCACATTCAAGCCTAATATTATAGTCAGTATGTTAATCCATCCCTTTGCAGGCTGTCTTCACTTTCACTGACGCTTTACTTTTTCTACTATCATGTCCTTTTCCAAGGATTGATTCGTCTTTATAACATGCTCAATGTATGTGAGAAGTTGTTACACCATCCTTGCCTTTAAGGAGCACCTTGTAATCAGGAAAATAACATAAAAATAGAAGAAACAAGGGAAAAAGAGACAAAGGGATGAATGCTTGCTTAAGATGTCATCTGCATTGCCTTCTAGACAGAACCAAACAATCGCTGACCCTCCAGCAAGTTTTCAGAGACTGTCAATTGCACAATAGGAGATGTGTATCTATCTCAAGTGATGTGGCTGAAAATTCTGAACTACCTTGCTGTTGGGTTGCTAGTGCAAGTCTTTGCCCACTAGGCCTCCAGAGTTTGTGATCTGAGTAGTTAGCTAGATAGGTTTGCAGGACTGAAGATTTTGCAAGGTGTGCTCAGACATCCTAGAGCACTCTGACAGGCCCTTCAGCTGCAAATAGATTCTTGTGTTTAGGAGAGAGGTCAATATCTGAACAGTATCAGTGTGAATATCAATGTCAGTGTTACAGGTTCAGTGTGCATCTGCTCATCCAAATGAGAGTATAAAGTGCAAAGTAAAAGGAAGCACGTCAAAACCAAGGAAGGACATTTAAAATGCAGGATAAAAATTGAGAAATTCTAGGAGGAACAAGATAAACTGAGAAGTCAAGGGGGGATTTCTGGAGGGAAGAAAAGGATGCTCAGCAAATCCTCACATCTTACAGTGCTGAAATTAAAAAGAACAGATAAAATATTTTTAAAGTGCTGCCAAACAAGTATTTCAGACTTGTAGGCCAGACTGTTTCTGTTTCTACTCAACTGTGCCACTCTATCTGGAAAACAAAACAAATGTGTAGCTACATTCTCAATAAAGCATTACTCATACACATGGGTACATGGGCCTAATTTGCTGTTTCTTGCTACATAAAACAAAATCTACTGGCACTGAACTGATTCCAACCCATAAGACATAAGAGAAATGCTCCACAAAGTTTTCAAGGTCCTCACCTGTATGAAAGCCAACTGCTATAACTTCCTCTTGTGAAAAAGCTAGTAGGTTAAGACAGTCGCCCTTTTGGTTACCAGCAGCCAAGTGCTTAATCATAATCAGTTCATCACCAGATTCCCTACCCTTGGCTTAGAGATCAGGTGAGATCAGAACTGAAATTTAAGCGCCACACTATAAGGTCATCAGAAATATCACAGAGGATATGTAATCACAGAGGTGTATATAAATTAAGCACAATTCTTTCCACTTCCTGTTACAGAGTTACATACTTTACACCCCAATTAAACAACTCATTTCCATGACAAACTAATTTAATGAATTCTCCATTGTTCCTAAAGCAGTAAATCAAACCAGAGGAGACCATCTCATCGTCCCTCTGCAAAGCTGCTGGTTAGTTCAAACCATCAGAGATGTGCCCTTTGGGATAGCAGCACAACTACTTATGGACTAGATCACTAGAGAGAGCCATTTTAAACAAAATAGCTGAAAAGAGAAGCTTTGATTATAACATCTGACAAAATATCTTGCTATATATAAGAAAAGCAGCACTAGTGGCCTAGCGGAAAGAAGCTGTGCTGCAATCCCAAAGGCATGCAGTTCAGGGTCACCAACCAGCTATGAGGGAGAAGGATGGGAAATCTCCTGTGAAATTAACTGCCTCTGAAAAATTGCTGGAGGGTCAGCTATGGGTAAACTCCAATTTGATGGCAGACAGCAACATATATAAGAAAGGGAAACCATTTCCAGATTTTATTTCAATAAAGTACGGTTATGTGTTAACAATGGAAACACACTGCAAAGATTAAGGTGAGTATAAATAAGTATTTTCAAAATAAGTCATCTTACCTGATTTGCTACTACTGCATCTTGTGGATCATCTGGTTCTGCAGCTGCCAATAGTGCTTGCAACGACAGTAATACCGTACGAAGAGTCATTGCTGCTGCCCTATGATTCAAAACAGAAAAAAAATATTCATGTTAAGTAAACAGCTCTACATGGCAACAGTGAAGTGAAGGTTTTCTGAATACTAAAGACAGAAACACAACAAAAATCTTGGTGGAACAAAAAGTAATTTACATTTTATCTTCATCATATAGTCTCCTTAATGAGTTAGGTTTATTTCTTCACCACTTCACAATGAGCCCTAATGTTTTATAAGACAAATTAAACCATCCCACAAGTCTTGCTTTTTTTGGTACTGTTGCCAATACCATTCTTCTGCAGGCATGATGTTAATATAACCCATTAATATCAAGTCTGTGAAACACATTCATTTAAAATATGTGAAGATGTGTAAATGTTATTTTCAATAAAGTCTCAAATCATTCCATAACCTTCTGAACAGAGTAAGCATTCCACTTTCAACATATTTAGAACTCATGCTTCTAAATGTAGGTATGCAGCAAACATTAATCTAGAAAATTAGAATCTACCAACTCAGCAATTCTTAAAAAAAAATAAAAATCTGTTCTACAACAAACTCAAATATTTATAAACAAGCAGTACTGAAATATTAAAAACACATTTTGTGTGTTTTGCAGACACATTAAGTGTGCTCATTTTCACCACACAAATCAATCTAACCAGACTTATTGAAAACTGGATTCATCAGACTTACAGACCAGACATACTAGTTTATCAAGAGTGGTGGTGGTAGTTGTTGACTGCGACCGAGCAGAACACCACTCACAGCTCGACCCTATGAACAAAAGACCTGAAAGTCTTACTATTAACATTGTTTCCCAAAGGTCATACAAGTTGTCAGAGACATGTTGTTTAGGAAGTGGATGTCACACCTGCTTCTCAACCTTCTTAAACTAGGAGCTCAACCAAACACTCTCTACCATGGGTGACCGTTATGGTATTTGACACCCAATGGCACAATGTTTGGCATCACAGCAACCCCAGGTGACCTCAGTGCAGCAAACTGCCAGAAAAGTGCTACACCCCTTAGAAGACTGTTCCTCCGAAATAACGTTAACAACTAACAACCCACTTATAAATACAAAAGCCATCCATGAGGTCTTGTGGACTTTAAAAATTCTTATAACTAGGTCATATTAAAAAATATTTTCCTTTCAAACTTTATTTCAGTAAGTACTTACTGAAATACAATTTAAAATGAAAATTTTTAAAAATATGTCCAATTATAAGAATCTTGCCATATTATTCATATAGAGATGTAAAACCACATTTAATTTGTCTCAAACTCATTGCCTTAGAGTTGAACTGACAGCTGATCCTCCAGTCCCACTGCAACAGCTGTGGGAATTCCCAGGTGTCACAATGGTTAATGTGATTAATAAACACAACTTCTACACAAAAGGCTAGAGGTTGAAACTCACTCAGAAGCATTACCGAAAGTTGGTCAGAAAAATATCAGGCTCTACTGTGGGACTGTTTTAAGTTGACTTGATGGCATCTGGGGTTTTGTTGAGTTTTTTTAGATGGTAGGAGAAATGTTCATTTATTGTCTATAAGAGAGTCTTATGGCAAAGGATCTTACAATACGGTACTCCAAGTGCCAGTTCAACACCACCTGGTAATGATGCAAATTCCTAGCACAACTCCAGCTTATAGAATAAGAAAAGATGAATGTAGAGAGCTGTTTTAACACATTTTCCCAAGTGATTGTGACACTATTACTTGCAGAATATCCATTTCAGACCACTGTAGCTTAAGTCAACTCAGAAAGGTTGTTCTAAACCAGCCAATTAAACCATTACTCCATAGCAGCAAGCTTTGGTGGCCTAGAAAGAAGCTGCACTGCAATCCCAAATTCACACAGTTCAAGGCCACCAGCTCATTTTTGGGAAAAGGATGGGCAATCTCTTCCTGAGCAATTAACTGCCTCTGAAAACCCATGGGAAGGTCAGCTATGGATTGGTTCAGACAACAAACCCATAGTACCTCTGTATTTTACATATTGAGAAAATGTTAAACTGATTATCTAAAATGCTATCAGAATATAGACCTAATTCTTGTGTTTATCTCATCAGAACTACAGAAATAGGAAAACAATTATTTATAAAGCATAAAAATTATGTAAAATGCTGTCTTAGCATTTATTTAAAAGAGAAAAGAATCTTAAGTTCTTAAAACAGCTCGATACAATGCAAATTTCTAATCTGAAATAAGGTTAAGTAGAAAATGTTTTTCTAGATCTAAGTCCTAAATTTCCCTAAGAGGTTACAAATGTATTTTTCTATCAGAAGGTAATATTTTTAGTATGGACAATCTTCTTTTAAACAGAACTTAACAAAAAAAAGGTCAATATACATTTCTGTCATCATTACAGAAAAACAGTAAAATGTCTCCTTAATTAAAATACTACCATAACTTGATTTTATGTTTAATTATAAAGATGTTTAAAGGCACATGTCCAAAAACTGAATAGATGTATTAGCAAAACAATGACTTTAAAATTCACCCCAAAAATGGAGGACAAACCAAATGATTTACCTGAAACATTCTTGTTTCAAAACCCATGCCATCCCTTTAAATGTAATCTAAAGCTATATAATTATTAATATAATTATTTCCTTCAAAGACATTTTTCTCAATATAAAATATCTTCACTCAAAGGAGTTTATCCTTATGCATAGAAAAATTACCCATTTCTTGGAACTGACAAATAGAAATAAGTATTTAAAAATAAAAACACAATATGAACGTACAAAGTATAGAAAATAAAGCATCTAGATTTTATAAAACGATTAGCAAGAACTTAGACTGCCAATCTTTCTTATGTAAAGCAGTTCACTCCTTAGGGAGTCAGAATTTTTTAAAAAATTAAATAACTAAAAAGAATAAATGTAAAATGTATGGTCTCATGCTTCAGCAAGCTAATAGTCTCATTTCAGGACATCAACAGGACCATGTTCTTGTCCACAACCCTTGGCAAAGATCCTTTCTTGACTCTCTTGGTGTCTTATCCTCCCCTCACTTAAATGTTCACTGGTAGCCTAATCTAGTCTGCTGCGTGAGTCTCTTAATTTTTCTTTGAGGGGAAATCACTCAAATTTTACTCATCAATTTCCTGCACTCCCATATTTTATTTTTCATGTGCCTACAAATATTGCACATTATATCAGTTAATGTTTTTAGTGGCTTAGTGCTAAGTAGCTGAACTGCAATCCCAAAGGCACATGGTTTGAATCCATTAGCTGCACTGTGGGAGAAGAACAGGCAATCTCCTCTTATACTATTTACTGTCTCTGAAAACCCACTGGAGGGTCAGCCATGGGTTAGTTATGACTCAACAGCACACAACAATCAACTCCTAAATTTAAACTGCCTTTCCCTTCACCTAACTTATTTATTAATTTTTACACCCCTCTCCCTCCCTTCCCATCCCTGTATTCATATAAATTCTTATACTTTCTTTCTCTCATTGTTGCAGTGTCTTTCTATTGGGAAGTCACTCAAAACTACTACCGACCTCCTGGAACAGTCATTTTAAGAAACAGAAACTATAGACCTGAAGTTAATGAGTCAGTGAAAGGACAGTCGTGCCCTCAAAACATAAGGGAAAAAAAAAAAGATGATGCTACAACTACAGTTTCAATTCAAAGCAACTTCAGAAAGCAAAAGTCTGCTCTAAGTTTTTGAAGGTTTGAATTTTTCAAAACAAAATTATTTTGGGAGACCTATCTACCTGCTATGTATCAAAGAGCTGGGCAATGATTAACAATGACAGAAGAAGAATTGATGCCTTTGAGTTGTGGTGTTGGAGAAGGGTCTTGAACATACCATGGACTGTCAAGAAAATAGATCTGTCTCGGAGAGGGTGAAACTAAGTTTCTTCTTGGAGCCTAGGATTCTGAAGCTCCGTCTCACATACTTTGGGCACGTGGACAGGAGGGAACAGGAGGGACTGGTCCTTAGAGAAGGACATCATGCTCGGAAGGGTGGAGGGACAGTGTCAGAGAGGAAGACTCCAGATAATGGAATGATACAATAAGTGGGGTAATATAGGTAGTAGGTGTGTCAGAGTCAGTGAGAATGGCTCAGGACAGTACAGGCTTCTGAGCTGTTAAACATAGGGTCCCTATGAGTTGCAGAAAACTCAATGGCACATAACAACAACATATCATTATTGAATATCTGAAAGAAAAAATATGGTATTTCATAAAGATGGACACAAAAGAAAACAAAAGGATGGACGCAAAAGGAAAACAAAAAAAACACTGTTTTAGCAACAGGTTGCTAAAATAGTTAAAGCAACAACAAAATACTACCAATAGGACTGCATAAATTACTTCTTTGACAATAAGATTAAGTGAGTGTATTTTCTGAATGCTCTACATTACAACAATAACACTAATTTTAATATGCAAATTTTGTAAAGTGAAGAACTATACAACTGAGAACAGAATCTCCATTTTTACTTATTCTTTTCACAAAGTACAAGCAAAATTAATATTGCATTGAGATTTTTAGATTTAAGCACATAAATATAGCTTAACTCTACTATTAAAAAATCTTAACAGGCAAACAGTATGAAGTTTCAAAATATTTCAGTTATTTTTATTAATCAGTGAATCATGTTAATGAGTACCTCATATTTCAAATCCGTAAGTATAGGTAATTTGGATAATTATTCACTCAAAGGAACTCAATAAGGCTACTGTTTACAACTTTGCTGAAGACTTTTTAAAAGCATCAATGAATAATCCACATTTATTCAAGAGAACAGATGTTTTTCAAAGAGAATGGCAACTTTTTAACTATATACTGTTTTACTGAAGTATAACAGAGTAAACTGCCAAAGCAGATAATCCATTTTTACATAGGTATACATCTGGTTTTTTAGTATAATCTGCATAGCACAGGACATCATTAGATTTTGTTATATATAGGATGCAACTTCATTACCTTAAACAGAACACAGTTAATCATTACATGGATCAAATAACAATTTATTAATTTTGGCTGTTCTTAAAATTAATAAAAACAGCATTATATAGTCCTTTTATGATTTTGGCCTTTATCGCTCATAATGTCGTAAGAACCATCCACATTGTATCAATTTTGAAAAACCACAACCCCCAATCCACTGCTACAGGGTCAACTCTAACTTACAGTGGCCCTCCAACACTTTTCCCAAGGTTGTAAATTTTTATCGGTGAAGACCACCCTGTATCATCTGTTTCTCCTATATAGCAGCTGGCAGGCTGAAGCAGTCAACCTTTCAGTTAGCAGATCAATATGCAACCATAACTTCCTGTTCTATCAACAATAAAGTCTTTCTCTTTTAAAAGAAAATAAAACCAAACAAACCACAAAACTGAAACCTCAAAAATACACAAACATAATACTGCTATGAAGTGTTCTAATGCATGACAGAGACTACTAAATATACATTTTCTCGTTGATAGTCATTTGGTTTATTTTCAATTGAAGGCTACTGTGAATAAAGGTGCTATGAACTTTCTTGTAACAACTTTTTTGATGGACACAGGCACTATTTCTTTTAAGATAACAAATCTAAGTCTGGACGTGCTAGACTGTAAGTATATATATGTTTATATAAGATGACACTGCTTTAATAAGACACTACCAGTGTGTTAACAGGTTAAACTACATTCCTACAATGTAGACAACCAACCATAAGTGTGTTGTTGGGTGCTCTTGATTCTGACTCAATAACCTACATGACAAGAGATAAACTGTTCCAAAGGGGTTTCTTGTCTATAACCTTACATAAGCAAATTGCCAGGGCATCCTCTTAAAAAGAATCAGAAGATGGATCTGAACCATGAACCATTAAGTTAGCAGCTTCATATTTACTCACTCTGCCACCAAGGATGTTGCATGTGCTTTCTATACTACACATTAGAATTCTGATTTTAACTTCCATTTTCTTCCATGAGTAATGATGCTAAGCAAAACTTACTGACCATCTAGAAATTCTTAGCAAAGGGCTTATTTGTATCTTTTGGAAGTACAGCCTTACTTCATACAATTCTTATACACTCATTTTAAAAATAGATGTTTAGTTATAATGAGTTAATGGAAAAACATTATCGAGAACAGTTTCTACACAGGGTAATGGGGGAGTTAAGAAATAAATGCTATATTAAGCACACGGTGGCGTAGTCTATATAGGTTACAATACTCAAAGGCATTTCTTTAGCATTTCCAATACACCAGTAGGTCTACTGGATAAAGATTAAAGTGTCCTCTCCTTTAACCTCAGAAACCCAATAGAGGATTGCTAGAAGTCAATCCTATAGATGGGAAGTGTGAGAGACAAATACCAAGAGAATGACATAGGAAAGAAAGCACACAGGAAGAGAATGTCCATCTCTCTCCTACAGAGCAGCTGGAGGATCCAAACTGTGTGCATTTGGAAGGGCAGTGCAAAACTGTATCAGTAAGCCACAGGTTTTTTAAATAGATGTCCTCCATCACCATCATCATCCTTATCAAAAAGTTAATGTTTATCCAGTATGTGTTTTAAAATTACTATCCTGCACTTTTTCTCTACCAAGTTCTAATTCTAAAGCCCGAACATTCACATTTAAACTTGGATATCCAGTAAATATTAATTATACATCAACAAAATTGGGAGAATGACTCATGTATGTCTGATATTATCTATTTTATGTGATGTTTCCCTTTCATATCTATTTCATTTGTATAGACTGAGAAACCAAATAAACTCAATTATTTCACTTTAGTCTTAGAAAATGTAGCAACTGATAAAAATGTTTTGCTAAAAAAAAAAATCAAGTTCTCTTTCCACATTTAAACGTCAATCTTTCAACTAGTTACATACAGGGAGCTAATCAGAAGTAATATGGATGCTTTAACAGAGCAAAATGGGGGAAAACATTGTAAAGTTTCAGTTTGGGAAGTTCATCTGTTTTAAAAGAAGAGGAAGTATTTCTCTCATTCCTGAGGATTGTTTATGTGGGGAATCTCATCAAAAGCAGGGAGACATATTATTACAATCATCTAAGCAAGAAGTAATGGGGCTTCATCAACAGCATTAAACATTAAATTTGTATTTAAATACAAATTAACATATTAATCACAACATTCAGTCACAAAACTTCATAATGCTTTAAATTATTTTGTAGGAGTTGAATACATGCTTATGTTTTAAAGTAATTCTACATTTAACACTCTAAACACAGTCTCAAGTGCTCATGTGAAAGAGATGGTAAATTTAAAATCTCTTACCATTGATCTTTCAGAATATCCAAACAAATAGCCCCTGTGACGGAACTAATATTAGGATGCCATATTTTAGTGATAAACCGGACCTAGAATATAAAGTGCACAAGTTTTTAAGTGAAAAATAAAATCATATATGGCAGAAGTAAAATTAACAATCAAATGCATACAATTTATCCTTATAATATATAATTTTCCCAAATGAAGAGAAGCATATAGAAGAAAGGCATGAAAAAGCAACAATTACAAGAAATAAAAAACTACAATTTACCTAGCAATATAGGAGAAAGTTTCAATGTGTTGTTCATAGGGTTGCTAATATTAGTTGACTCGATGGCACTTGGCAACGATACCAGATGCCAGGAGAAATACAAAATAGTTTGTGGGGTTTTTTAAAAACAAGAAAGGTAAATGGCACCTTTCTTAGTATAAATTGGGAGTGTAAGATAGTTTTAAAGAAAAGGAAATAAAAGTAAAATCAGTATCTGAAGGCATAAGTAGTAAGATACTAAATAGTTGTAGTTCTCAAAAATATTTTTAATACCTCAACAAATATTTGAAAATGTAAAGCTTGCATTTCTGCTATTGCTTAATAAGTCTCTATCTAAATACAGATTATTAATACACTTAGTCACATAATAAAGACTTCATGATGTTTTATAATTATTAGGAAGAAGGTTAACAAATGTTCATGTATTAGCCACTGAGAAGACATGGAGGAACAGAGTTCTTAAAAATGTCAATCAATTGTCATCTGGTCGATCCTTTCCCATGTCAAATCAGAGTAGAAAGAATTGTGGTTTCACAGGGTTTTCAAGGAATGATTTTTTTAAAAAAGACCATGAGGTGTTTCTAGGTAGATTCTGGTTAGCAACCAAATAGGTGGTTTATAAGAGATTCCTTAAGAAACTTATTAAACAGTAGTAACGTAAATTGCAAACTCATATGACAATTCTAAATCTCAGTCTAATTACTTCACTATATACACCTCCACATCAAAAAGGAGAAACCACTAAATTGAAAATGATTTGCAGACTCATAGGTATCTGGCTGACCCTCCACTGAATTTCTGAGGCTATAAATGACACGAGAGAAGACCTTTCTACCAATGAGTCACTCACTGGTGGATTTGAATCACCTGAGAGGTCTAGCTTTGGCGTTGGCAGTGTTGAGTCCCTACACTCTAGGCCACCAGTGGTTTTTATATTACTATTACTGCTGCTAGTAATTTATCTGGTAAAGTCAATAATGACTACTAATTTATTAATACTTAATACTTTACAAATACACAGTACTTTAGTACTCTACAAATTTAATTCTTCAGTATATGCTTCAAATTGTAAGCTGCTCCTGGAAAGAAGCCAAGGAGACAGATTCAACTTGTCTCTTAGCTTTGATTTGTATACATTATCTGTCTCCTTTGGATGCCAGAAAGGTGTTTACTTGTGTTTTTCTGACTGTGTGAATCACATGAAATTAGGGTTAACCTTGAGATGGATGAAAGGGGAATGTCAGAAGAGTTAAGGGGGCTCATTTTAAATACTCAAACAGAACAAAAGAGCACTGTATGGTTTAAAGTCAGGAAAGGTGTCATGATTGTAGCATTCTCCAGACTTATTCAACCTATGTATGGAATAAAAAATTTAAGAAGTTGGACTATATGAAGTTGAATGTGCCATAAGGATTGGAGGAATCAACAACAACCTGCATTATGGAAACGACACAGCTATGCTTGCAAAAAGTGAAGAAATCTTACAGTACTTACTGAAGAGGAGCAAAGACTAGTCTTGAATATGAATTACATAAAAATCTGCATAACTGGACCAAAAGGCAATACACATGACAAATGGAGAAAAAAAACTGAAGTTGTCAATGAGTTCATTTTACCTGGATTAATAATCAATACCCATAGCAGTAATAGTTAAGAAATTAAAAGGTATGTTAAATTGGGAAAACGTGCTGTCAAGAACCTCCTTAAGTGCTAAAGAGCAAGAATGTCAGTTTAAAGACCATAGATTTTTCAATTATCCTATGCTTGTGAAAATTGGGCAATGAATAAGGAAGATCAAAGCCTCTGAGTTATGTTAGTCAAGAATACTTAATATACACACTATGGACTTACCAAAACACAAACAAATCTCTCATGGAGGGAGTGCAACGAGGTTGTGCACCAAAGGCAAGGAGGGTAAAACTTCATCTTTCCCTACCCTGGGCATACTGTCAATTAGGCGCGATCCTAGCAAAAGCAGAAGGTCAGCACAAAAGAAGACAGCCCTCAATAAGCTAGAAGGGCAGAGTGACCTCAACGAAGGATTAGAGCATGGTGGAGACCATAGGATAACACAGGCGAGGGCAAGATTTTAATCTGTTGTTCACACAGTCTCTGTAAGACATAGGACACAATAGCACCTAACAACATGTGTCTACCTCTCACAGTCTCGGTCTCTTCATTGAAAGCTTATATATAATCTGAGCTACCATTTCTGAAAATAAGTTGTTTTCTTGCAAATTACATCACTATCAAAAAACCAAATTCTAAATAATACAAAAGAAATTGAACACCTAATTACCGTGACTCATCTCACTGTACAAAAACAAAAGACAAAAGCTCTACACATATCTCTATTCAATATTCTTGAAACACTGTATCTGGCACCATCAAACATTTCTTCAGTAATGCATGACCTTATATACACTCTGGAACCTGGAGTGGCATCCACTTGCTAAACAACATGCATCTGGAAACTGTATGAACTTTGAGAAACAACAACAGTTATAGAAAGGCTTCAGGTCTTTTGTTCATAGGGTCACTATGAGTTGTGCTCGATTTGACGGCAATTAACAACAAGATGATGATACACACTAGCACATACTGTGAATCTCATCATCCCAAGGTACACGAAAAATACAAGTGAACCATATATGTCCCACTGATTATGAAAGACTAAAATAATTATCACTATTTACCTAAGCTACTGCAGACTTCACTGCCTTCAACTTGGCTCCTTCTAATGCTATTCTCTGGGGAGGGGTGCTTTCTGAGTGGTAAGAAACTGAACCACAATCTCAAAGACATGTGGTTCGAATCTGCCACTTGCTCTGTGGGAGAAGGATGGGCAATCTCATCCCAAGTAAATTAACTGATTCTGAAAACTCACCAGGGGGGCAGCTATAGCTCACTTCTGATTCAATGGCACACAACAACAACAATCTATTCTCTACACTGAAACAAACATTATCTGTTAAAACAAATCTGTTTTGTATCAATGCGCTGCTTAAAGTTTTTTGTTTTGTTTTTAAAAAAAACCTCTTCAGTCTGTAAAGCCTATAGTTTTAACCTGGCCCTAAATGAACTCTCAAAATCTTAATCTCTACTTCCAGCCTACAAAGGACTCTTGTTCAAAGAGTCAAATTTAAAAATATCTTCTTTTGAAAGGTGGTGTGTTGGAAGAGTGAGTGCTCTTGGCATATGTCTGTCCCATCACTAAAATATCTCTATACTCTCTTCTATTTAATCCATCAGGTTATATTTTCCAGATCACTTCTTGACCAGTTTCGCTCAAGATCTTGTACTTTCCTATGTTAAAATACTGATCACACTTCTTTAAGCACTTTCTTTTTCTTTTTTTAAAAAAATAATTTTAATAAGCATTTACAGAGATTTTGTTTCCATTCATTCATTGCTGCACTTTTCTCCCCGCCCAGCCCGCCCCCCCACCCCCCTCTAGTTCGCTCCTCTCTTTCAAAAGTAAAAGAAACAC